AGGCAGCACAGAGTGAGAGAGAGCCAGCACGGGGGAAGGTGTGGGATAGGGTGGTGCAGTGTGGGGCTGTCTGAGGCAGCGGTGTGTGACGGGATGCGATGGTGTGGAACGGGATGGGGTAGGGCAATGTGGATTGGTGCGATGTCGGGTAAAGCAGTGCAGGATGAAGCGGAGTAGTGGGGGACAGCGCGGTACAGTTCGGGGCAGGGCAGTGAAGTGTGGGATGGGGCCGTGCGGTGCGGGATGGAACAGCGGGGGACAGCGTGGTGCTCGACGGGAACGGGCGGTGAGGGGCAGGGCTGTGCGGCGCAGCTCCTGGGAGTCGAGTTCCTTCCTCCCAACAGACGCTGATGTTCCCGCAAAGTGCCGACGGGGCCGCCCTTCCTCCCTCTCCTCTTCATCCTTCACCTCCTCCAGCCGTCGCTGTCCCGACCGGGACCCAGCGGGCGGATGCGGAGGGCGTGGACGCGATGCTGCGGGCGGTGTCGGAGAAGTGCCGCGCGGCCCTGCGGAGCCTGGGGGGCAGCCCGGGGCACAGCTCGGGGGGCAGTCCCGGGGGCAGCCCCACGGCCAAGCGCCCGCGCCCGGCTCCGCGTCTGCACGGCGCGTTCCGCGGGCTGCGCACCGGCCGGGCCGCCCTACGCCCGGGCGGCGGGGACCTGGAGGAGGGCGGCAGCCTGCGAGCACAGCTGGGAGAGGCGGGAGCCATCCGCACCCTGGCCTTCCCGCAGGGAAACGCCTTCACTCTCCGCACCGCCACTGGCGGGCACCGGTTCCGATGGGTACCGCGCTGAGACCTTGGCGGCCGCGGACACGCGTGTCCCTGGCGCGCCGGAGCGGGACTTGCCGCAGCGTGAGGCTGGCAGCGCTTCCCACCTGGCGGCACGCTTCTCGTTTTCCCTCGGAAAAGGGGTATTCACACTTTCTCTCATTGCTGGAGGAGTGATGTGACGAGCGCAGCAGAGGCCACCGCGCCCCAGCGAGGGCCCCGCGCCGCGGGCACGGCCGCCGCAGGCTTCGTGCGCGGAGCCGCCGTGGCTTCACAGTTGGCAGCTCGCCCTCAGTAGCTTGCTAATGAGTGTAATGAATGCAGAAATTAAACGAAGATCTGCCCGGCTTTGTCCAGAGCTTTTACTCGGGCAGACAAGCGCAGCCGACGGTCCAGTGGCTGGAGTTGGCTGGCCACTCTGAAATCAGACTGACCATCCCAGGTGGTTAAACATGATGCATCTGCCCCATCATGGAATTTTGCACCCACGGTGTTTACAAACTGCATTTGTATCGTTCATGTCTGCAACTGTATGTGTATATTTGGACTAGATGTGATTATTAAATACTGCTTAAAATTGCCATGTATTTGTACAGATTTAATGTAAACAGTTTTGCTTCACGTATGCCTACTTGCTTTCATTAGCACAAGGATAACAGAAAGCAGAAAGTTTTAGAATAAAACATGCTGCTTTTAACATTCAATGGTACTAACTGAAGTAAAGAGAAGTGTAAAAAATAATGTTAAACTGTTCTGAAAAGATACATTTCATTTGCACCCTCTGGTTTGAAAGCTGAATAACTGACAACACATGTGAAATAGCACCTGCAGTGTATTTTTCTGTGGCACACAAGTGAAGGCACTGTGCTTCACCCAGGGTAGAGATTCTCTCTCTGTGAAGTTATCAGTTTTTCAATACTCCGATTTTCCAGTATTCTTGCATGAGTCCGTGCACATTAACAGCAGTCCAATTGTGAGAGGCTTGTGTGATAGTAAAGGTAAGAGCACACTGTCACCTCAGTAGATCTCTTAGGGCTACTGTACATACTCTTGTGCTTTTGGCAGAAGAGACTGTATTTGGAAGGAGAATGGTGGTTGTTTTCAGCATGACATATAGTTGTATGGCTTCTAGGAGACTGCAGAGATGGGTATTCAGTATCTGTGGTCCTTCATGTCTGCAGCACTGACATCTTCTAGCAGGAATTTTGCTGAAGTCCTGTCTGGGATGCTAAGGGCTCAGCCCTGGATGACTCCAGAGACATTTATATTTCTGCCGAAGAGAATTGCCACTTTGGCAAAAATGCTCTATGAAAGCTCTGGTTTGTCCGCAGACAGAAGAGACAAAGCTTCCTGGCTGCACTGAATTCAGTAGGGAATAAATTCATAGTAAAAGGCAGCTTCTATAGATATCTACAGATCCTTTCTGTGTGTTTTATGAAATGAAACACAAAATGGATAGTGTGTACAATTTTGTAATGCTCATAAGCATGTTAATTCCTCAGAAATAAAATGAAAGATTACACTTCTTGTAGGATATAGCAAAAAATAATCTGACTGAAGGACGTGTTGATTTGTGGTTTATGTTCACTATGATTTTTTCTCTCTGGTGGTGCATGGTCCATGCAATGCGCAAAGAGAGCTGTCCAAGACCCCAACAGAAATAAAGCAAAGTAGATGCAATAACATTTAATGAGCTTTGTTCCTACTCATAAGTAAGCTTTCTCCACATTTCGCTGCCCTGCCAGTGCCAAGCCATAGGATTTGTGGCTGTGAAAGAGTGGTGGTGCAGAACTGCAGACAACTTTAAGGTGAAAGAGAAAAATACTTTTTAATTTAGGGTGTGCCAGGGTAAGGGTTAATTAATCATGTGTTGAATACAAGCACCTCAATTCCATATAGGACTTGTTCTGGGCACATGGGTTTTTCATTGGGTAAAATCCTTAGGTATTAATTAAAAAATGACACCAGACCTCAAGGTACAGCTTGATTAAAAGTAAATACTAGAAAGAGGAACTATCTCTTAGTAAATAGGTGCTTATTAAGTCAGTAATTTTAGGTCTTTTCAGAATAGAAAGGGTAGAAGGGACCTGACCTAGATGGAATTATTTAGAAATGCCATAGGGCTTTTAGTATAGCTTTAATTTATGAAAGCCTTTTTTATCAGCAGTATTGACCATCCCCTGATCTAAAGGCAATATCCAAGACTGAGTGTTGGCATGGCATTTTCCTGTAGAGGTTTCCAGGGTTGTTCAGTGCATCATAAAGAGAAAACCTTGCCCATTCACAAATCTTAGCTACTCTCCACATGTCAGTAACAGAAATGCTCTTGCTTTGATGTCCGTATCAACTTGTATATAAACACAGGCTCACATTTGCTGTCATTTAATTGGTCTGACTACCATTTTTGAAACATGCAGGTTCCTACAGATCCCATTCATATGGAGCTAACCTCCATCAGAAAGATGCAGTGGATTCCCCTGTGGGTTTGTCACAAACCCTGCATGGTGGCAGAGAGCCATTGAGGTGTCTCAGATGGTAGTCATGTAGAGACCAGACTATAACATGGCTACTGTGCTGTAGCACCAGTGCTAAACTTTTCCTGTTGGTTTTGTCTTTTTAGAGATTGCAGAGATTTCACTGTCATTTCTTCCCTTGTTTTCCTGAATATTTTTCTCTAGAAAAATATCCCTATGTCTATCTTCAAGAAAAAGGCAAGAATATTGTGGTTGGTTTTATATGACGGCAGCAGCACTCTTCATCTTTTCTAAACATTGACTTAATTTTGTTCAGGAGCCATTATTTGCATTTTGCATTGCACAGTCTTAACAAACAACTAAAGCTAAGGAGGTCAAAATAGATGGTGGTTTGCTTTGGCATAACTATCTCATAGGTGTAGCAGAAATAATCTTAAAGTCTGCCTTGGACCTGGCACCTGCTCAAACTCTAATAGCAAGGGAATATTTACAGTCAGTATTGACTTTATACTCTCCAACAAAATACTCTTAAAACCCCCCAAATTACTAATTTTCTTCAAGGTTATACATATGTAGTGATCATTTTTTTTTAGTGAAATTTCCAGATTTCTTATGTGGATAATGCAGTTACAATTTGAACTCACTTGTTAAAATAGGGTACCTTGAGATTTTGAGGCTTGTTCTCTTTTTCACCGACTAAATTGCTGTTGCAATGGCCCGTGAGGTTCCCAGACTGTCTGCGTGTAAGTCTTTCTATAGCAGGCTGATACACACCAAGCATGTGTAAGAGGGTTACATTTTGTGCTCTGATCCTTTCTATGGAATAGGTCTCAGGATTTCAGGCAGCGACTTCTACATGGAACCTCGTATTTCTATTTACATGAAGCTCAGCTCAGCTGATGCTTTAAGTTGCAAACAACTTTCACCCATGTGCCAGGGATCTCCCTGAGTTCCCCTGGGTGAACTGTTCTGGCTTTCAGAGCAGGAATACCGATGGCACATGGACCCAAAAGGGAGCCTCCACCCCCTAGAGAAATTTCTGGGAAATTATAATGGCAACTACTATCTTCTCTTACTGTCAGTCACTTGGAGAGACATCCTTGATTTGCCTGTACCACTGTGAGAACTATTCCTCTAACCCACTCAGAAGCACCTGAGTACTGGTATGACTGAACTGGTATATTGTCTGAAAAGCTAGAGAGAACAATAAAAAAATACAGAAAGAGAAAAATAGGATGTTTCTGTACCTCAGGATCTTTGCTCAGTGAGCATGTGACAAAGCTGGAACATTATCTTCCCTCTGGCAGGAAGTTGAAGGCCATGGTTCCCCAAAACATCTCTTCATTTTGCATCATCAAAATGGAAACAAATTTTCGCCGTTATGTGTTCAAAGAGTATTTTCCACCAATTTCAAATAGCAACTCAAATCTGTAGTAAATCTTATTCAGATCCCTCGTACTGTCAAAAGGGTAATTTTTCCTTAATGTAATTTGTTACACCTTTCTTAATTTATCCAATTGGGTGTCACAGACAGTGACTGCATCCTCTCTGGAAAAGTATTTAGTCCAGTATGCCCTTGATGTCTGAGTCCCTGTGCTCCTTAGCCAGGGAGGTTTCTCTAATTAGGCCTTTGATTTAAGCAAAACTTTCCAAGAAACTTATTTAAAGACTGGTTTTATTTACTTTCCTGTTTTTCTGACATGGAAACAACCTGTGTTCTATTGCTTTTAAGACAATGTTCTGTGACCAGCGCTTGAGATCCTTCCATTTGCCAGAACCTGGTGTGAGGTAGCACCATGTCTTGTCAGCAGTCATTTCGCAAGGAGCACTCTCTGTTGTATCCTGAGATACCTGGGCCATTAAATTATTAGTGGTCCTAATTCAGCAGTTTGGCTGGGATAAATCCATCTTTTCCTGAAATGTGTTGTTTCAGTCAGTGCTTAATTTTCTGATAATATTTTGAGTCTTGCTGTTCATGTCCAAACCTCGCCTTCAAATTATAAGCTCGTATTTTATTTCAGTAAATTCTGATGTCGAATGATGATGTCAAATTTTTATTAAAAGACCTTATGAATAATGAATGAGAAAAACTCTATAAATTACTATGGGTTTGACAACCTGCATACCAGCTTTCAAGGATGTATGAGGCACAACATATCAGCACCATCTGCTGCCAGTGGGGACAAACTACACAGTTTCTACATACCATTTTGGTAATATTTTTTACAGGGAACTACAAACATTCAGCCACTTTTCTAGTATGAAAGTGAAGTAGCTGAGCAATTGCCTGCATAGGTTTCATAATGAGTAGCCTACAAGGAGTCTACAGTGTGAAAGAAATGAAGACACTTAACCCAGATGACCTTCTCATTTTATTTTGAAGACACATTAATAAGATACTGGAAGCCTTACAGAAGTAATACACTTCCGTATTACTGTGGACAGCTTTTCTAAAACAAAACCCCTTTGTTTAAAATTCAGTTACAATTTCTAAGTGACACCAGAGCTCTTATTTAACACAAACTTTCCAAAATACCAGGTGCTTCAAGTGAAGAAGGGAGTGTTAAGGATATCCTTGGTGTTATAATACCTTCCTAACAATCCAATGCATCCTACTTAACATACAGAAAGAAGTTTTGAGTTCCCCTTAGCACTTCTGTTTATTTTTGAATTTTATTTACCACTGACTTCATCTAGGGAGCTACTTATCTTAAGGCTACTAGCAAACGTAATATCTTAGCATATTTTCTACTTGTTAATCAGTGTTCGGTAGAAATTTTATAGAAAAACCTCCAAATATTTTCGTACACTCTGTTCGTGGTGCATGCATGGATGAGTTGAAGACTCATGGGCAGAAATCACTGCTTGTAACACCAATTGCAGTCAGTCATATTATTTACTTTTAAATGCCTTTCTCTGCATTAATTAATCCTAATTCTAGTTCACACAAGAAAAATCTTGTTGACTTCGAAAGACTTTTTTTGACTTTTATTCCAGTTTACAACTTCATAGCTCTCAGATTGCAACTTGTTTCCTCTCACTATCAAATGAACTGCACGGTTACAGGTTTGCTTATCTGAAAGAAGTGTTCCAGTGTGAGAAAAAGATTTTTTAAGAGTCCCGAGCACAGCATGATAGTTTAACAGCTCAAAACACTTCACCTGAGTGTTACCGACACAAAACAAGCTGGCTTTTCGGTGCATGCTGTTAGGCAGTGACAATATTTGGCCGTGTTTGCTGAGTGTTAGTCTTGTAGAAAGATTTCACATTCAGTTAAACGAACAACTGAAGCATTGCAAACAATCCTTGGTGAAGCTGTGCTAGCAATACCTTGAGTGCTGTTTGTTTTACAGAAAGCATTAAGAAGGTGTTGAGTGACTCAGCCACTTTTTATCCCACGTGTGCTTCCCTGTGTTCTTAGCAATACAAAGTGAGATAATAAGATGGCTCTTTTTCGAAGTAGTTTTACTTTGATTTGGCAAAACAGCTCTGTCATCTGACATTTAATTATTGCTTATTACTTATAAATCGGTAAAAATATTCTCCTCTATTATCTTGCTTAGATGATGTCCTTTTTTAGATGTGAAGTGTGTAGCTATAAAAATCAGAATAGGTGGGAAACAAGACTTGAGAAGATTTTTGCAGAAGAATTTTTACTTAACTCAAATAATTCTTTCCCAATGGAAAATTAAGAAAAAGTTCCTGTTTAGCAGAAACAGTAAGAAAGTAAAGAATACTTTCATCACATTTTAAAAAGTGGCACTTTGTTTCTTATTCTTAGAAAACAACATTTTTAATGTTGATTCACAGATTCAAAAACTAGAAAGAGGATAAATAGGCTCTTTTACATGCTATGTGTCTGTTTGCTTCTGTCTTTTGAAAACCTGGATGGCATAATTTCATTGATACTGTGAAACTATGACAAGGACTGAAAAAGAGCAGTTCTCAACGTATTAAAAAAAAAAAAAAGTTTTATGTACCAGTAATTCTTTAGCTCCCTTTTTAGATTTAACTAAACTCTGTCATTCAAATAACTGTGTTTTACCTTCTTTGTGCCAAGCCTGTGCCCAGTTTTTCTCAGGTGAAGGCAGTGCCTAAGGGTATGCACAATTCCTCCACCACATGCACTTCATAAAACACATGCATGAGAAATGCATCTGCAGGGATAAAACCATTCTTCACACTTTCTCCCACAACATCTGCTTTTGCCTGTGACATTAAAGCAAATGCTAGTGGGTTATTTCTGGAGTTTGATTATGGTTGGGGTGAGGTTTTCCTAATTTTTGGGTTTGCAGACCTGCTTTGGAGGACAGTTCCCCAGTGGTACACAGGACCAGGGTGCCATTTGCTCTGTCTCAGCTCTGAGAGAACAACACTGTGTCCAGCTCTCAGGTTTGGACAACCTGGTCTGAGAGGCCAGTAGGCCTCATTCTCCTTGAAGTTCTGCCCAGCTCCTCACAGAGGACAAAACCTTGGTGAGAAACAGCCGATGTGAGGGGTTTTTTTGTGTGTTGTGCCAAAGAGAAGAGCAGAGAAGGGTAATAGAGCTGGAGAAGGGTCTGAAGCACAAGTCTTCTAAGGAGTGACTGAGGGAACTGGGGTTGTTCAGCCTGGAGGAGGCTCAGAGGAGACCTCATCACTCTCTACAATTATCAGAAAGAAGGTTGTAGCCAGATGCAGGTCAGCCTCTTCTCCCAGGCAGCCAGTGACAGGATGAGAGGACACAGTCTCAAGCTGCACCAGTGAAGGATTAAGCTGGACATTAGGAGGAATTTCTTCACAGAAAGGGTAATTAAAGATGGACTTTGGAATGGAACTGCCAAGGGAGGAGGTAGAGTCACTGTCCCTGAAGGTGTTTAGGAAAGAACTGCATATGGCACTTAGTGTCACGGTGTAGTCGACAAGGTGGTGTTCGGTTGACCGTCTTAGAGGTCTTTTCCAACCTGATTCTGTGACTCTGTGAGGCTGCCCTCTCCCCATTCCGCAGTCAGGGGCCGAGGCACCCCCACACCGTGGCACGGCAGTGGAGCAGCCCCACGGGGCACGGCCGCGGTGGTGACACATCGGCCCCGGCGGGGCGGGCAGCGGCCGCCCGCGGTGTCGGCTGGCATGCTGCCCGTGCCCGGGGTCGAGCCAGGGCCCTCTGGCAGAGGCCGCCGCCGCCGCCGCCCTGCCCGCGAAGTCCGCGGGACTCGGCGCGCCGGGTCCTTTGCCGCCAGCGAGGCCCCGCCGCCGCGCAGCCCGGGCGCGCCGCGTCCCGCCGGCGGGACGGGACTGCGGCTCCCGCCGCGCAGGGCGCGCCCGGGGGATGCTTAAAGGGCGCCCGCGGCCGCCGGGAGTGTTGCGGTGTGCGGGCTGCGGGGTGAGGGGTGCGGAGTGCGGCCGAGGGGCCTCCCGGGTTGAGGGACTGGCGCCCCGAGCCCTGGCCGGGCTGTAAATTTCCTTCTCTACAGGCTACTTGCCCCGCACCTGCCCGGGTCACCCTTTTACCCCCGTGTGCGCCGCCTCGCTAGCAGGGATCCTACTCGGGTCAGGCCACTTCGCCACCCCGCAGTGGGTTCAGCCAGCCCCGGCGGAGATAGAATGAAAATTGGAAGAACCCGCCCGGAGGACGAGCAGGAGGGATGAGGACTTGCTTTGGGTAACGCTGCCTTGTGGGTATGCGGGGACTGCCTGTGCTTTGGAGGGGTCCGCAGCTGGGGAGATGTTCTCTCTGGAGGCTCTGCCTTGTCTCCGGGGCCGTGGCTACCATCGAAGCCTTGCCAGCAGCGGGACTGGATGGACGGTGATTTGGGGTGAGCCGCGCGCCTGCTAAGTGTTGCTCCTCTGTGTTTTTTTTCATGAGAACGCTCGGAAAAGACCCGAAGTGGAGCAGAAAGCAAAGCCCACGGAAAGCGGCTGAGGTAGGGGCAGGCACAGACATATGCACTCCTCTGTATGCACTGCACTGAAGAGTTCCACTATGTATATTTCTGGGGAAGGGAGGGGAGGAAACTATGGAAAATAAGTGATTTTGAAAGAAAACACAACCCATACTTTTTATCCTTTTTTATTAATCCTTTCACACTTTTTTAACTGTAGCATCTTCAATGCCAGAAAAATGCAAGTTATAGTAACTTGACATCTATTTGGGAAGGAAACAAGAACACTTCTGGGCTTCTCTCCTTTAGCACTAGAGGGACTGCTTGCTCTTTAAAAGTAAAAGTTACCTGACTTCACTGAAGGGTTTGTGTAGATTTACAGAGCTCTCATTTCATTGGCACTGAAAGCTGACTAGTCCACATTTAGGCTGGTAAAAGATAAATGGGACAACAAAGAACTTGTATGTACAATACAAACATAGGTGGAAAAAGTATTAATCAGACACAAAATGTTTAACAGTAAGGAAGAGGTAAAATACAGGCGGCTTGTACCTTAAGGAGTTGTCATAGACCACAAAACCTCGTAAGTGTGCAACATGCAAACTGATGAAGTGGGAAGTGAAGGTCTAAATGGAATTCACCACACTGAAAAACACTGAAGTAGGAGATAAGCAGTGTGTCCTTAGATACAATGACAGTATGGAAATATAACCATTAGCATGCTAAGAATATTGCTTCAGCATAAATATTTCTTGTAAGTGACCCCATGGGGAAAGTCATCTTATTAAAATGAGCAATGACTGAGCTATAGGAGACAAAACTTTAGGGATGGTGGTGAAGGGAAACTGGTTGGTCAAAACTCAAGAGAACGTAACAGTCTGGCAGTGCATGTTAGCTGGCTGTTGTCTCTGATATGTCACCAGCTGCTAACTGCACTCCATATTGTTTCCTTCAAAAACATCATGGAAAAGTCAGAGGTGGCATCTTGCTGTGAAACAAGCAGAAATCAGTTATCCAGTGCTTTCCTGTGGCTAACAGCAGCACTCAGGCAAGTAAATGTTTTATGTGGTGTTTTGTTTTGTTTTGTATTAAGAGTTATTCTGAGTGATTTAAGACCAATTTTGAAGAACCAAAGTGATGGTTTAAAATATAGTATTCACTGATTTCTGTACAAAGTGTCTAACTCAGTAGCTCCTTACCAGTGTGACTTCAAAGGACTTTCAATCAAAATGGATGTGGGAGGTAAAATCTTAACTCCATCCAGCCTGAATCCAGAGGCTTTAATCCTGGGATCTTTATTCATCCTCCTTTATGTGGCTGTAAATGGAGATGTCCTGTGGCTCTTAACTTACAGTTAAGTTGCACTATGGAGTAACCAATAATTCTGATTTCAAAATAAGCTAAAATTGAAATTGAAATACTGAACTAGACTCTCAGCTCATCTAGACTGAGCCAAGGTTGCAACAGTGACCATAAACAAATGCCCATCTGAGAAAAGGACAGAGGTAAGTATGCTACTAATTAACTTGTAGAGGTAATATAGTATAGTGGTACTTTTCCAAGTTGTTCAAATGGAGGTTTAAGACAAGAAACTGTTTGCAACACTATTCAGTTCCTTTTGTACACTCTGGAGTCTGATTCTAGTCACACTCCACATAGGTTTTATACTAGTACACTAATTCAGGTCTTGCTGAATCAGAGACTTACCTGTGACATTTATTTCATGACACTTCATTCTGTTTGAACTTTTATATATACATGTGTGAAACATGAACCTCAATAATGATGGTAAATAATGATGAATTTAGGTAGAAAATAAAAGACGTTTCCAGGCATATTATTTCAGGAGGCATCTCACTTTGCAAGGACTCTGTGTCTGGTAGGCAGTGCGCTGCTAGCTGGCTGCTGTACCTGGATGTAGCAGTCGCTGCTGCACTGCCACCTGCTGCAGGGCTGGAGCACCACTGCTAAAAGGCAATTCCTTTGGAAGGTGCTAGGATTCTGTTTACAGGAATGCAGGCGATGCTCCTCTGTGGGATGAGATGGCAGTGTATGTTAGCTGGTTGAAATTCTGACATCAGCTAACATGCAGTTGCTCTCTTTTTCCATATACCTTGGTCATCAAAAGGGAGAGCTGCAACTTTTGTACAAGAAATCTTCTGGGTCCTCCTGATTACTTTTGTTGTTGTTGTTGCTGTTATTTCTTTTTTTTTTTTTTTTTTTTTGACTGTCAGCCTCATGTATTATAGTGGTGTATTGCATTTCCATTATCTGCCATTATTCAAAGAATTGTGACAATTTTTTCGGTTGATTTAAACTCTGGCTTTCAACTGCTTTCAGATATCAAGGTAATAGGAAATTTATAAATACTTTTTAAGCAGGTAAATAATTCAGATGTTTCAAACAATTTTAAGTTCTGGGAGTTTCTTAAAGCAAAAGCAGTACAGTTAAAAACTTAATGAGAGTTTTAAATTTTGATTTTAATTTTTTTTGTTAGCGGTATTTGGCAAATACAAGTGGGTAGTTTGGGGGGGGAGAAGAGGTTAGTTTTTTGTTGTTTTTTGTTTGTTTGTTTGTTTGTTTTGTTTTTTTTTTAATGAGTAATAAAGTGGAAAAGACTTAAAGTAATTTTCACTAATTGTGTGAATTCTAAATCTGAAAAATAATTACCTTTCCATTATACATATAAAGCGAAGTCAGCTTTAGAGTTTTTCTTCTTCATTACTTCTCAGAATAAAATTGTGAACATCAGTGCATTAAAACAACTGCACAACTCCAACCAGGAGACACAAACTGAGTTGGATACGATATTATACTTAGAAGAATAAAGGCTGGAAGCACACTGATCTTTTTGATTAATGTTACAGTGCAAGTTTCTATCAAGCATACTGCCACAGCCAACAGAGTGTTAACTTTATCCCCATCCTGGCACTTCAGTCACCTACAGAGTGTAGAAGAAATTATTTGTTAATACTTGTTTTATCTGGGTGCTGCTATATGTGGCTTGCAAAGTGAAGGTCTCCTAAGAAGAGAAATAACATCAGTGTTTGTGAAGGTCTGCAGAATTTGGATGAACCTACTGTTGTGTGTGGTGATTAGGCAGTGTATTGTTAGTTAGCTGTTCTTCACACACCAGCAACTGACTGCACTGCCACATTAGCACATCATTGTTGAGACTTGAATATAAACACTGTTATAAATATCTTATGAGATCCTTAGCTGGTATGGGGTCCAATGCCTGCCTAATTCCCCTGACTGAAAGGAGCAGTGCTAAGTTAGGTAGACTGAGTGAAGGTAGGGTACAAAATTAAGTGTAACTGAGGATATAAAATTAAATGTAACTGTATTTCATACATTTATACAGATAACCTAACTGGCTTATCAAGAATCTACTCGATTATGCAACTATAAAGTAAGATTTCATGTTTGAACACTATATTAATATGTTTCTCTTACACCACTAAATGTTTTATGTTTTGTTTTAACTAAATGTTTAACTAAATGTTTTAACTAAATGTTTAAAGGAGCTCAGCAAACAAGTATTTTGTGACAATACTTGAAAGAACAGGAACATGTACTGGTGGTGACTGAAAATCACCTTGTGGTGATTTAGAATATTTGCACTCCCAGACAATCTCTTGTAAAGAGAAGCTCACAGTTATCTGCTTGAGAAAATAAAGATATATCAGATCTTAGGAGTGAAGGAAGGATGAGATAGGAATGAAGGATTAGGATGAAGGATGTAATAGGTTAGGTCATGCTGATATGAAGATGAAATAACTGTAACACTCATGGACTGAACTCTCTTAGTTGTCTGGGGAGAGTGGTTTTATCCTAAATTGGTGAGATTATTAAGGAATCCAAGAAATAAATTTCAGTCTGTTCACAATTTTGGAGTTTATATTTTTTATATGCTGTGTTTTAAATTAACTGTAAGTGGATATTTATGTATTCATATTACCTTCTTGGCTTTTGACTATAGGTAAGTATATGCTTGCATAACAGTGTTCTAATTTTAATTGTATTTATTTGCCTTTCCAAGTCTGTGTGGATTTGTCCATTAAAGATGCTTTATTTTTTACCTCAGAAGAAATAAATGATTAGTTTATCAATGATCTGCCCTAAATATTATGTTGGAAGATCTGACATGTCTCAAGACGTATAAGTAATACAAACACATTGAGTTTTTGGATGAATGCTAATTAACAGTAAATTTTGAAAAACTTAAATTGCGTAGATTCAGGACAGAATGGTACTTATATTCAGATTTCTACAGAAAATGATTGTAGTGGATTGTGACCAAATAGTGAAATGAGAAATTCCATGACTCTGTTATCAGAAAAAACATTCTTCTTCTAGGACACCATAGTAAACTTTATTCAGGTAGGAGTGAGTTAAATGATTCTGTCCACTCACTGGCTAATATCACATGCTATTTCTGAATACCAGGAAAGA